CAGAGCCCTCTCGGTCATTAACTTCACGGATAGCGAAGTGGAGGTAAGGGCGCTGCTGGCGGCTGCCGTTTCCCTGGTGGCAGGGAGAGGGTGACGGAGTCCCTGCCATTGCTCACCCCTTTTTCTCTCTCTCTCTCTCCCTCTCTCTCTCATATGTGGTGGGGCCAGGACCTGCTGAGCATCGTGAGCAGCGTCCTGCACTTGGGGAACGTGCAGTTTGCGGCTGATGAGGAGGGCAGCGCTCAGGTCACCACAGAGAACCAGATCAAGTACCTGGCGCGGGTGAGGGGTCAGGCTGGCAGAGGGCCAGGGGGCAGGCGGGCGGGTGGCTGCACGACCCGTCCCGTCATCTCCAGCTGGGCGCATTCCAGCCTTGTGCTGGCCGGGATTTCTGGGAGTTGCAGTCCGAGAAGCCTTGGTTGGCAGCTGTATTTTTCCCCTCTTTTTTAAATCCGCCTCGCAGCTCCTGGGAGTCGAAGCCGCTCTGCTGCGGGAAGCTCTGACCCACAAGAAGATCATTGCCAAAGGGGAAGAGGTGAGAGCCCCCCCTTGCCTACCCCCCCTTCCCGGGACCTTGTTTTCCGGCAGGAGAGAGAACCTTCCTCCAGTCCGCGGAGGGCCTTGGCTTTGAGTAGGCGGGTCGCTGGCCTGGGCGCCCTCGTGGTGCAGAGGGAAGGCACCCCCCCCGTCTGGCCCGGCTGCCACATGGGGTGGCCGGAAGGGTGACTGGCGGCTTCTGCTCCCCTGCTGCAGCTGGTCAGCCCGCTCAACCTGGAGCAGGCGGCCTATGCCCGGGATGCCCTCGCCAAGGCCGTGTATGGGCGCACCTTCTCCTGGCTCGTCAGTAAGATCAACCGATCCCTCGAGTACAAGGTAAGCCCTCCCTCCCTCCCTCCCTCCTTCTCGTGGGAGTGCGTGGCTTCTGCTGTTCCTGCCAGGGTTTTTGTTTGGGGGGGGGAGCTGGCCTCTGCCCTCAGGCCAGTTAGCCGCTGTTGAGGAAATACTCTCCTCCCCCCCTCCAGCCCCCGGTGGTGTGGGTCCAGTTTGCCATCCTGTGGATCATGGCCCTCTGCATTTCTGCGTCACCCGATTCCGCTGCCCGGTAGCTCCTGGCACCACCGTGGCTGCCACCGAGATGGGAGAGGGTGGCTGGTGCTGCCGGCGCCGGTGGGTGGGTGGGTTTCTTCAGGCCCTCTTCCTCCTCCCTGGCAGGAGACGGAGGTCATGGGCTGGAGGAAAAGCTGCTCGGTGCTGGGCCTGCTGGACATCTATGGCTTTGAGGTGTTCCAGCACAATAGGTGAGTTTCGCCCACCCTCGCCCCTGCCCCACGCTCGTGACCCCCAGGGGATGCCCCTCCGCCAGACCTCTGCCGTCCTTCGAGCCCCTCCGTCACCCTCCGTGGTTCCAGTGCCAGGAAGGTGGGTGGGGCCCCCGGAATGGGCTAGTCTTGGGCCAAGAACCCGTTTCCCCCACCCCACCCCGTCCCTCTGGTCCTGTTCTCTCATCTTGGTTGCCTTCTTGAGACCCTGACCGTAATTCTGCTTCCCTCCCCCCCCTGCCAAAATATGGATTCTCTGTAGCTTTGAGCAGTTCTGCATCAATTACTGCAATGAGAAACTGCAGCAGCTCTTCATTGAACTCACCCTGAAGTCGGAGCAAGAGGAGTATGAGGCGGAAGGCATTGCAGTAAGACAATCCCATTTTCTGGTGCCCCCCCCCAAAGAGTGAAAGGAGGGGGAGGGAGCGTGTCTTGCAGCCCCCTTTCCTCCCGCCCGCGCTGGGAAAGAGCTCAGAGGATGGCTGGGAACCCGGCCCGCCCGTGGCCACCTTCCCTCCGGCGGCTGGACCGGACGGGCGGCGCTCTGTCAGGGTGGATGCACCAGGCGGTGTGTGTGTGTGTTTCTGCCCTGGCCTGCTGAGTCACTGGCGCTGTGATTCCGGATGAGGCCTTTTCTCCACCCCAGCCCCATCCCTGCTCTCGAAGCTGGCGGATAGTCTCCCTCCTTGAGCTTCGACCTGAATTCTGTTCTCTTCTGGCTTTGTCAAATAGTGGGAACCCGTCCAGTATTTTAATAACAAAATCATCTGTGACCTGGTGGAGGAGAAATTTAAAGGCATCATTTCCATTTTGGTAAGTCTTTGGGAATGTTGCAAGAAGCAGGAGGCAGGCAGGAGTGGATCCCCTTGGCCTGCTGGAGGAGCTGTTCCGGCCCACGTAGGGGTGTCTGGGCCCCGGATGGTCCCGAGGGAGACGGTGCTTCTCCCGGGGAGAGGCCGGAGTGGCTGCCCAGCTTCCCTGGGGGCCCAAAGAGGCCAGGGGTTGCCCTATTCCTCCTCCTCCTCCTTGGCTGCCCAGCTTCCCTGGGGGCCCAAAGAGGCCGGGGGCTGCCCTATTCCTCCTCCTCCTCCTCCTCCTCCTGTGGTCAGCAGGACCTCCCCAGAGCCTCTCGGAGGCAGGGAAGGGTGAGGGCCTGGTTGCAATGAACGGCTTTCCCTAACGGCCTGTGCCCTCCTGCCTCAAGGATCTCGTGTGGGTCAAAGCTCCATGCCAGCCCCCCCACCCACCCACCCTGTTCTCTGGGGTCCTTGTGGAGCAACCACAGAGGGTCCGTTGGGGGGGACTCAGCCTAAAGTGGAGCCCAAAGGGGGGGGGAAGGTCTAGAGGCCACACAGCCCTCACTTTTCCAAGCTGTCCCTGCCCTGGGGACTGCTTAATGCCCCCCCAATCCCTCTGACTCCCCCCCCCCGCAGGATGAAGAGTGCCTCCGGCCTGGTGATGCCACCGATATGACCTTTTTGGAGAAGTTGGAGGAGACCGTCAAGAACCACCCTCACTTCATCACGTGAGTTGGCACAGAGCTGCCGTCGTGCCCAGGGCTGGCGGGGGGGGGGGGGCGCTGTCCTGATCGTTACTGCTGATGGAAAGCGTGTTTTCAGTTCTGTTTCAATAGATGTCCTGTCAGGGTCAGCGTCTGTTTGGGGGCCCAATGGCCCCCTCTCCCCTCTTGCTGCTTTGAAGGGTTGCATTGATCACAATACAGCATCGCATGGTGGGTTTAAGCAACCCCGTTTTAGGGTTTTCTGAGGCAGAAGTAAAAACCGAAGCAAGCTGTCCCCAACCGTGGGCGGGAGGGGGGGTCGTCTTTGAGGTTACAGGCCTCAGAAAGCCCAAGGGTTTCTCCCTGACCCTGGGATCTGCCAGGGTGGCTCCGATGGCTGTTTCCTCTCCCCCCCCACCCCCGGCTGGGCCTCTCTTCTTCATCATCTTGGTGGGGGGGGGCGTGTTTTTCCACCGGCTGAACTCCGGCTCCTCTTAGGATGCAGTTTCTCGACAGGCACAAGCTGGCCGATGCCAAGACCCGGAAGTCTCTGGGCCGGGAGGAATTCCGCCTTCTGCACTACGCCGGGGAGGTCACCTATAGTGTCACAGGTAAAGGTTCCCGCTCGCCCTCCTGCCCCGCAGCTGGAGGCGGCCGAGGGGTGTGTGCGTGTGTGTGTGTGTGTGTCCCGGGAGGGGCCTTTGGGTCCTCCACGCCTCAGCCCTTCGTTCTTGGTCTTCTCTCCCGTCTCCTTCCCTTCTTGCCCTCGCCAGGTTTCCTGGACAAGAACAACGACCTTCTCTTCCGGAACCTCAAAGAGGTGGGTCTGGCTCTCTTGCCTTTCCTCTGCTCAGTCTCTGGCCGGGCAGAAGGGCCTCTCGGGTCCTCCAGGAAGGAGCGGAGCGTGCGCGCACGGCTGATCTAGCAGGAGCCCTTACCCGGTTTCTTCTGCCTCTGCTCCCCCAGGCCATGTGCAACTCGGAAAACCCAATTCTCACCCAGTGCTTCAACAGGTCGGAGCTGACCGACAAGAAGAGGCCAGAGACGGTAAAGCCCCTGGAGGGACAGCGTGGAGCCAGGAGCGGCCAGCCGTCCTCCTTGCCTGGGTGGGGGGGGGGGCAGTGGCCGGCCTCCCTCCCTCTCTCCCTAACGCCTCGCCTTCCCTTGCAGGCGGTGACCCAGTTCAAGAACAGCCTCTCCAAGCTGATGGAGATCCTCATGTCCAAAGAGCCCGCCTACATTCGCTGCATTAAGCCCAACGATGCCAAGCAGGCAGGTGGGTCTGAACACGGCGTCTGGCCAGGCAGCACGTGGCCAGATCCGCCCGGGCGTGGGTGGGTTTCTGCAGTGACCTCATCTTGTCTCGTCCGTCCGGTGCCCCAGGAATCCTGACCCTAGACTCACTTGGGGTGCTGGCAGCAAAGGATGCCCCCCCCACACTCTTGACGGCCTCCCTTAACCAGAATCTTGCCTGGTCCTTTCTGATCTTTTTTCCGTTTCCAGACTCCCATCAGGACCAGCCCCTCTGCCTCTATCCTTTCTCCTCCCGGCTTGGCGGCCACTTCCTCTGCCCTCCCTTCTGTGGGGAGCTGGCTGGGCTTGCAGGCCCCAGAGGCGGGCCACTGCCCAGGACACCCTTTTCTCTGGGCCCCCCGAGGCGTGAGCTAGCTGTCCCCCCCCTCCCCCATCATCTGCTCTCCGTTCTGATTGTTTTCTAGGCCGCTTTGATGAAGTTTTGATCCGGCATCAAGTGAAATACTTGGGCTTGATGGAGAACCTCCGGGTGCGGCGGGCTGGCTTCGCTTATCGGCGGAAATACGAAGTCTTCCTACAAAGGTTGCCAGAAGAGAGAAAGAGAAAGCGTTTGTGTCCCTAGTATGGCAAGGGGCGGAGTGGAGAAGCAGCAAGGAAGCCCAAAGGGGTTGATCTCAGCAGCGGCCCTTCAGGGGACCGGGGGGGGGCCTTATTCCCTGGGGGGGGCTCAAGACCTTCCCCCCCTTTGCCTGGTTCCTGATGTCCTGCTCAGAGCCTAGCCTCTGTGGCAGAGGGGAAAGGCAGGACCCAGGAGCCCCCGTGCCTTTCCCTGGAGGGCTGTAGCTCCCTGGGCCCCTGGGTTGAACTCTGCCTCCCTTTCTTTTCCTTTTCCTTCCTTCCTCTCTCCCTCCCTCCCTTCGCCAGGTACAAGTCCCTCTGCCCAGACACATGGCCTTCCTGGGACGGCAAGCCCCATGACGGTGTGGCAGTGCTTTTGAAACACTTGGGCTATCACTCAAAAACAGATGTAGGCACATAGTCACTTCCAATTTGGGCTTTAAAAACGGTTGGCCATTTCTTGCAGTTGTCTGAGACTATAGGGCAGGGGTGGGCAATTAATTTCTATAAGGGGCCACATGAAAAATCTGAACTGTGTCCAGGGGTGGATAGTAATAGAGCCCCAATTTGTGGGTAGTAATAGGCCCCCATTGGGTGAGGCCCTGTGGTGAACAAAGGTCGGGGTGGGGGGGCAGAGTTCCCCATCTGGCAAGAGGTGTTTCTTTCCAGGACAAAAATATTCATCCGTTTCCCCAAGACGCTCTTTGCCACGGAAGATGCCCTGGAGGTCCGGAAGCAGAGCCTGGGTGAGTGTGCCAGGGGTGTGCCAGGGAAGTCCCCCCTCCAGCTTGCCTTGCTGTTACTGAGCCTGAACCCCCCAAAAAAATCCCTCTGTGTCCCCCCCCCCTTTCAGCCACAGAGATCCAGGCCTGCTGGAGGGGATTCTACCGGCGGAAGAAGTTCAAACAGATGAAGCATTCAGGTAGGAGGGCCTTACCTCGGGCGGGAGGGCAGGGGTGGCTCCGGGCTGCTGCACCTCAGCCGGGCAGAGGAGGTGGGAGCCAGTGGGATTCATGGAGGGGGGGGGTCCTCTGTTTTTGGTCCCAGAGTAGCACTGGGGACCAGCAGGGAAGAGACCTCCCCCTCCCTCCCCACCCTCCTCTGGAGCCGAGGGTGTCCTTTGAGGTTCCTTGCGTGGTGCCCCCACTTGGAGGGGAGGTGGGGGAGGCTGGGAAGGGCCTCTTTCCCCTGGGAAAATGGGGTGGGTGGGGGGAGTAAAGGGTGTGCCTCGGCCACTGAGGGGAGAGTGCCCTCACGGGGTTCCTCCTGGGCCTTCTCTTCCTGCCCTGCAGCCATCGCGATCCAGGCTTGGTGGCGAGGGACGCTGGGACGCCGCAAGGCCGCCAAGCGGAAGTGGGCAGTGGAGACCGTTCGGAGGTGGGTCGGGGCTTCTTGCCCCTGGGGGAGCGCAGGCTGCTCATTCGGCCCGGGGGGGGTGTGTCAGTCGTCTTGGTCCTGGCCTCGGGGTTCCCAGTGGGGAGGGGGGCAGCCCCCTGCTTTTCCCTCCTTGATCCTCCCCGGCTGTCCTCCCCATCAGGTTCATCAAGGGCTTCATTTACCGGAACTACGCCCGCTGCCCTGAGAACGAATACTTTCTGGACTACATCCGCTACTCCTTCCTCATGACTCTGAGGCGCAACCTGCCCAAGAATGTGCTGGACAAGTCCTGGCCGACTCCACCGCCCTCCCTGCGAGAGGTAGGGGCTTCCCGGCTGTTTTGGATCCCCAGGGAATTCCTTCTCCAAGGAGCTTGTTCGGCCCAGATCCGGGGGGACCTGAAAGGGCTGCTCCCTGGGCCTGATGGTGCCAGCCATCCGGACGGACGGACCCTGGCCTTGCTGTTGGGTTCTGCCACCCTCAAAGTCCTGGATCGGTTGCACCTCCTGTGAAAAGCCTCAGTTCTGCCACAGGCTGCGCCTCTTGCCTGCCAACGGGTGCCGCAGGCCTGTTGTCAGCCTTTGGTAGCAAGGTGCCGCTCCTTCGGTGGGAGGTGGAGAAAGAGGCAAAGCAAGGGTGGCTCCATCTGCGGCCTCTGCGTCTCGCAGCCCTTCTCCCGCTCTCAGCGGCTTCCCGTTCGTCTCCTTCCCCTCCAGGCCTCCGAGTTGCTGAGAGAGCTCTGCATGCAGAATATGGTGTGGAGCTACTGCAAGAGGATCAGCCCAGAGTGGAAGCAGCAGGTGGGTAGTTGCCAGAGGTGCGTGCGGGTGCTGGTGCTGCCGTGTAAACTATGCCTGGCAGGGTTCTTATTTTTTTTTCCCCACTTCCTCCAGGCCTCCCCTTTCTGGTGGGTGGCCTGGCCTGGCTCCTCCTTGGTGGACACCCGGCTCCTCTTTAGCTCTGTGCTTCCCTTACAGCTAGAGCAGAAGGTGGTGGCCAGCGAGATCTTCAAGGGCAGGAAGGACAACTACCCGCAGAGCGTCTCCCGGCTTTTCCTCAACACTCGCCTTGGTACGCAGGCGTCCCTCTGGGTGGCTGCCCGGGTTGGGGCCGCCTGCCAGCGCCTCTCGGGCTCCCCCTCCTCACTGAAATGTTTTCTCTCTGTCCTCCCGGCAGGCAGCGAAGAGATCAATGCCAAAGTCCTCCAAGTGCTGGCCAGTGAGCCTCTGAAGGTGAGCCCCTGGCTCAAACTTCGGCTGGGAAAGGGGTCAGGGACAGGGTTAGGGTCAGGGTGACGTCCCACAAAGCCCCTCTCCCCGGCTCCTCTACAGCCCCGGCTTCGAGGGCAGGCGCTCTCGGCAGCTTTAACCTTGTTGCTGCTTTTGAGATTCCCGCTGCCTCTTTTTCCAGTACGCTGTTCCGGTGACCAAGTACGACCGGAAAGGCTACAAGGCTCGGCCTCGGCAGCTCCTGCTCACACAGAATGCGGTGCTGCTGGTGGAAGAGTCCAAGGTCAAGCAGCGGATTGAGCACCCCAACCTGACAGGTGCTGAGAGAGGGAAGGGGGGCAGGTGGGGCGGGTGGGATGTTCGGGAGGGAGGTCATGGTGGCGTTTGAGAAGCCGGCCCTGGAGCCCATCTCTCCTGAGGAACAGGGGCTGGCGGCTGTTTGGGACCCAAACGACTTGGCCTCCAGGACAGACATTGAGAGGGTCAAGAACACCCCCCCTTGCCCCAAAGCCACTTTTCCTGGGCCAGGGGAGGAAGGAGGGCCAGGGTGAGGGGCACCTCCTCCTCCTCCTCCCCTCCCTCCCTCTCCAGGCCCTGGCAAGGCTCCACCCCAGGGCCCTTAAGAGGAGCATCCGCCCGGTCTGTGCCCCCAGAGAGGCCTGGCAGGATGACAGGTTACCAGAGCCAGGGAGGGGGCCCGTATGCGTGTGGTTGTCTTGTGTCTTGAGCGGTTTGGCTTGTCTTGCAGGCATATCTGTGAGCAGCCTGAGCGACAGCCTCTTTGTCCTCCATGTTCTCCGGCAGGATAACAAGCAGAAGGTAGATTTTAAGACTGAACATAGTTTGGGCTAAGCTCGGAGGAGCGACAGACCTCCAACAAAACTTGCTGGGGGTGGGTGGGAAGGGCCTCTCCCCCCACCCCACCCCCACCCCACACATGTCAGTGGCCGACTCAGACGGGCATCTGACATCGGTCTGCTTTGTTTTTTCAGGGAGATGTCGTTCTGCAGAGTGATTTTGTGATTGAGACGGTGACTAAGGTTGCCATCGTTGCTGACAAAGTGAACAGCATCAACATCAACCAGGGCAGGTGAGCTGATGCCACGTCGAGCGAGGTGTGCAAGCTCTTCTTTATCACCCCCGAGTCCCCCCAGGAGGCAAACGTCTCTTTTATTTGGAAAACAGACAATGGTCATTTTGAGCCCCGCATCTTATGTTACTAACAGGTTGGTGGGGAGGGATTGGCTTGTCTCAGATGAATCCTAACCGACCACAGGAGACATTCGTCCTTGTCCCAGGGGGCTAAAATTCACCCATAAAACCCCCCTCCAAATGCTCTTTTGTTTGATCCGTAGCATAAAATTCGCCATCGGGCAAGGCAAAGAAGGCACCATCGACTTCACGTCAGGATCGGAGCTGCTGATTGCCAAAGCCAAAAGCGGGCACTTGGCTGTTGTAAGTCACGCTCTAGGCACCGGGCGGGTGACGGGGGTGGCCTGCCCTGGATTCCTCCTGCCTGGGGGTTTCCTTGCCCCACTGGGCCAGCGGCCAGTAGGGAGGAGAGCTGCCCAGCAAGGGAGGCCTGGGCAGAGCCTGGGTTGGTCACCACCGTCTCCTTCCGCTCAGGTGGCGCCTCGTTTGAACTCCCGATGACAAACGCTGTTTGTTGCCCGGCCAACGACCTTCTTCCTCCGACTGACTCGGTTCTGCGGCAACCTCGGCCGGCTGCTTTCTCTGCCAACGTTTTGCGGGTGGGGCTGCTTTGCGGATCTTCTTCCTAAGCTACCAAAGAACCCTCCTTAGGCTGCATCTGCTGGTTTTACTCCTCCTTGTACCAAAAAAGCCTTCCTCCCCTCACAGACACTACGGGGCAGCCGAGGACATGCGAGGTTCACAGCCTGTCCTGCTGCCAAACAGCCTTTGTAGGGGAGGAAGGCTGTGAAGCTCTCCACTAATGAAGTGACATGCCAAATTTTATACTAAAAATATTTTATGAGGAAAATTTCTCCTAGTTTTTTTTATGCTTTGTATGAAAATATAAAAAGCCATAATGTATAAACAAGTGATATTCTGTAAATATGTCCTAGCCCATCCTATGGGATGTCAACACTATGAACATTATTTTCTTCTTTCTAAATTGGAAGAAGTGTGATAGTGCTTTAGGGAACTATCCTCCTTCCCCCTTTGCTGTCCCTCTGGCACTGGAAAAGGAAGTGAAATCACAACACAGACCTCTTTCCAGAGAGCATGTTTTGCAAACTTGGGGTAGCAAATTTACCCTCAGAGATGGTAGAATGTATTTCTTTGTGCAGTTCTCAACAGCACACGTGCCGTTCAGAAAAGTTTTTTTAAAAAAGATAACTGCCATTGAACCCCTAAACCGAAGTTTTTAAGTCACTAACCTTTGGTCTCGGCGATTAATGCTTCACTGGTAGGCAGGAGTGTGGGCCGTGCATCCCCTCCCTCCACTATTCAGATAATGCTTTCTGGTTCACAGATGATCCTTTGGGGCTTTTGCGGGGGGGTGGGGAGGGAGGGAGGCGAGGAAAACAGAAGAATGGCTACTTCTGTGCTGCCACGAAAACAACAGAAGGTTCAGATTGGTTTACTTGTCCACCCAACACACATGTGTCGGTAACTGTGCACTGATCGCACTTACTAGGGTATCGCCCAGAGATAGTCTTTTCAGGGGACATTAACAAGATGCTTCTGTAGTCATACTGGCCGAGACAAGTGAGGCTTTTTAAATACCACAATTGGATTTTGTACTAGCACAGAACCTGAGTGATTTTTTTTTGGTGTCATGTGGTTGCATTGCTACCACTATCAGACGCTCCATAGGTTTGTTCTTTTCTTCCTTGTTTTCTATGATAAAAACTGCATTAGCCTTGAATGCTGTCTGCTACAGTGTATATAAGATTTAATGCTCTATGCACAATGCTATATAAATCAATGCAAATCTATAAATACATATATATATATATATATATATGCCAAATAAATTTTTACTAAAACCTGGAGGTTCTTAGTATGCACTTAGTAGGTGAACTTAAGATTCTTTTGCTCTCCCATCTCCTTCTTGTGCAGGGATCCACTGCATTTCATCCAAAGGGAAAGCAAAAGGGGAGGGGCTGCAACTTTACAGGTGTCTGCACAAAGTCTGTGAACTCTGACGCTGCTAATAATTGCAGGGGAATCAGAGTGCAACTGGGGGGGGGCACCATCAGATGCATGACTGATCTCTCCACCCCAGTATCTTGTCAGTTTGGGGGGGGGAAAGGAACTAAATACAATCACCAGTAAGAGTCTTGCCCAGAGATAAGTAGAATGCAGCACCTACGCCTGCCTCACGACAAAAACCCTGTGGAGGCAGGACAGGCCACCCTTTTCAGGGTGCCCCAAGAACAGCCAGCCAGCTTGCCCATCTCCAGAATGCAGGCAAGGCCTCAAAGCTTAAGAGCTTGGCCTTTGAGCAGACACCTCCCCGAAAGCTGATGGAGGGAAGACACCCCCCCTCCCCGGGTCTCTCTCTCTCACAGGGCAGGTTGTCCCTCTGTGCCAGTTCACAGACTAGGCAATAAAGAGCACTGCGCGGCTTCCTTCCTTCCTGTCCCCTCTTTGAAGAAGAGTTTTCAACGAAGCCAAATTGCCTGACCCGTTTTCTGAGCAGGAGCCTGGAGGAGACCCAGGTATGATGGGCTCAGCAAGGAGACCTTCTCCCACAAGCGCCTCTGCAGAATTGCGACTATGGCAGCCACCGCACCCAGGCCAGCCGGGTGACCATCACACTGCTCCTCTTGCTAAGGACAGCGAGCTGCCCTGATGGCTACAAATCCAACCCATATACACTTTCGAGGGTGCTTTATGGCAGGAACTGCTTTTCAGGTGGGATGTTTCTCTGAAACCTTCAGCGCTCAGGGTCTTTTTTCAGTGAGTAGGTGGCTCAGATTGGCGTTGCTTGCCTTGCAATGGGACAGCAACACAGAATGCCCAGAGCGCAGAGGCCGTCTCCCAGGGAACCCCTACAGGAAGGGAGGTGCCATGCTCACGCACTTCATCCAAGCGCTCTTCTGCATCAGCAGCACCAGCATCCTTGCCATAGCATCCAGTTCACGGAGACTCGGGCCACTGGCATAAAAATGGGCACAGAGACCAACCATCAAGGGGCTGTCGCCCTTGTAAAGAGTCCCGACAGCTTTCGTTGGTCCTTCCCCACCACACACACACACACACTCCTCAGCACAGGGTGCTGCTGTTGCTTCCACAGACAGACCAGTGACGGGGAGACTCAGGTGCGCTGTCACTTACTGGGGGGAAGGTAAGAGGGACGGCAGCTGCCAAATGCAGCCCAGGAAGCTGAAAGGAGAGAGCAACAGAAGAGGAGAGGCCAGGCGATGGTGCTGCGCTCTTCCTCCCTCCCTCCCTCCTCCTCTACGGGGAACGGTGTGTAAGCACTTGCCCACCTGACCCCAGGGAAAGATCATCTCCCGGTTACAGAGATGTTTCAGCAAGCGTCGGGAGACCAGGCTCTCCAGGTGGGACGGGGGGGGGGGCACAGGCCTGTTCCCGGTGGGACGAGAGCTGAAGGATCACCTGGCTTTGAGATGTGCGGCGGGCAGAGAGCAGTCTGAGGTGCCAGATGTTTACACAGTATTTTATTTATCCAACAGACTCGCTGCTCAGTCCAAAGGGAAAGCCTGAATGAAGCTAAAAGGCAGAGAGAGACAGTTCACACCAGAAGTACAGGGGCATCATCAGCAGAGAAGGCAACCAAAGCAGTGAAGGGACACTCTTTTGGGGTGGGTGCAAGATTTCCTCCCCCCCCCCACAATCCATCCTGGGTTTTCACCAGCCCATGACGCAAAGGCCCAAACGCAGCTGGTAGCGGAAATGAACTTTGGAAAGAGAACAGGGTAGCTTTTCAGAAAAATCTGCCAAGCCAACCTTGGTTTCCAAAGGCTGGCTGGCTCGCTCTGCCTCAACCTGGCCCCGTCTGACCGGGTGCCTCTACTCTAGAGTCAATGGGCAGGAAGTGTCCCCTCAGCTGCTCCCAGGAAGCGGACAAACACACCCGAAAGAACAAAGGGCTTCACGGCAGGTCCGGGCTTTGTACACAGCCGGAAATTTAATGTCCCCAATTCTGATTTAGGCCATCTTATTACATTACAGCCAATGGCCCTCTGAGAAAGGACTGGGGTGTTTGTTTTTTTCCTGCTACTTGTTCTGCCTGCACTTCTGGCTAAAACAGTTATTACCAGGGGTAAAAGTAGCAGTAGTATTTGGCATCATTTTAATTTAGGGTTGTTTTATTTAAGTTTAATGTTAATTCCATGCTGTGTTTCAGTAAGAACAATACAGATCCTGTATCTGTGGCTCCAGTCAGATTATCCAGTAGTACAAATTAGCTTCAAGTTACACATACTGAACAAAAGAGGTTGAGCTCGCGAAGAGGGAGGCGGGAGCGGGAGAGAAAAATATTGAACACACATGCAGGCTTCTCAACGCCACCTTCAATGCTAACCTGCTTGGAGGGAAAGTAAAGAGAAGGCAAGAATGAGCAGCCACGGATTGTTGAACCGTTACCAGCACCGTCGGTTGCAGCAACATCTCAGCACAGTTTTGGAGATTTGTTTCCTGTTTAGTTTGGTTTTTTTGTTTGTTTTACAGCAAAACCACTACAAGAACTGTTCCAATGAAACCTGTAACTTCAAGCTAAACGCCCAATTTTAAACAATGGTGTAAAATTGTTTAAACAATTATAAAAAATGGAAAAAAATATATATATATCCCGCCGCCGCCCGCCGCCGCCACCACCACCACCAGCACTCTAGAGTGCAACCAACCTCCTCTAGGGGTCTAAGGACTTCCAGATGTCACCTCCAACACTGACAGCAGGCAACACAGGAATGCAGGAAAAGCCTCTACGCAGCCAGTCCGGATAGTGTCTCAAAGAAACTGAAAGCTGGCACCAGTAAAATCCACAGACATTCACTCTTGCCTTTTTAGAGAACGTTTCAACTGTGTAAAAAAACCAACAGGGAAGGAACCTAAATTCTGGGGCCCATCACAAACGTCAGATCCGATGGCTCCCAGGGACACGGAGGGGCTTGGGGGAGGGAGGGGGGGCAGGAAGGGGACAGAGGGGAGGGTCTCTTATTGGCCTTGACATCTCACTGGTTCTCATCTTCCACGTCCTGCAGCGCTTCTTTACTCTGTTCTTCACCTGGGAAGGAAAAGCCACAAGGTCAGTGCTGCGAGTGGCAACTGCAGGCCTCTCTCCCAACCTCCCACCAGGCCCCTGCCTGCAGGGTTCCAACGCCTCCCTCAGAGTCCCCAGTATGACGCGTGAAGGTTGCAAAGGCATCGCCTGACCAAAGGTATACGAGGCAGGCTTTGACGCAGGCCCAGAGAAGTGTGTGTTCCAAACAACCTTGCTTCTGCAGAGAAAGAAATGACTCTGGCCACCCTGAGATCCAGTCAGGAGGAAGGAAGCCCTTTTTCCAGTAGCAGAACGTTTGCATCTCCTGCAAACCAGCTCCACTACCCACTGTTAAAACACTCTTTGGGATTGTTACCTGGCAAGCTCAGAACAAGCATTCCTCGGCCAAAGGTGGCCTGAGAACCTTTTGGCCACAGAAGTTCACATGCTTTGCGTTACTCAGGTGCCCCCCTGGCAAGAAAGAAGCATGCACAAAAAACCCACAAACTGCACCACCGCTTTCTTTTGCTGCCAAGTTCCACCTCGCCCTCCACGCACAAGCAGGAGCTCCCTCAAGGGGCACCGACGGCGTCACACTGCTGGGCCTGACATGCAACACCTGGCTTTGCTGAGCGGCTCTCTAAGGCTGTTCCCGGAGGGCTGGCCAGGGCAGAGCGCCTGTTCGGCGGCTGGACCGCAGTCCTGGGGCAAGAGCAGAAGGCTGAGCACACTGGCAGGCCAGCAAGTCAGGCGCCGAGTCCCAGGAGGGGCTGCAAGGCCTGGAACACGGGTCAGAGGTCAAGCGCATCTCCAAGGGCCCCCTCAGGGATCCAGCATCTGTGCCAGGCACCTCAGGCCACTTGGCTTTTGTTAAGACCTGGGAGAGGAGGGAGGCGGTCCCTCGCCCTGCCATGGAGTGAGAGACACAAGCAGGATGCAAGCAGGATTAGTGAGTGATGAGGAGGAAGACCAAAAATGCCCAAGTCATCTGAGAGACTTACAATGCAGAGTTTTAGAAAATGAACAGGTGGAGTTCCTTTTAAGAATCTACACAACAAAAAAAGGAAGGGTAAAACAGACGTTACAAAAAGGTAAGCCATGAGGAGGAGGAGGAGGATGTTCCAAGACGGGAAGAACACAGAGAAGCCAAAGGGGCATGCTGGGAGGTGGGTGGGTGGGGCGCTAACCCTGGTCTCCAAGGCCTCTCTGCTGTCCACGGCCATGGGAAAGACCCCTTCCGCAGCCACCACCCCCTGGCCGAGTCCCACTGCTGCTCCAAGCTAAAATGGGTGGGTTTCTCCCAGTTTGAAAGAGTGTCCGCTGTGTATGGGGTCAGGTGCAGAAACCAAAGCATCTCCTTGTTCTGTCCTTCCACAAATAAAAACAAAGTGAAGCAGCCCCAGGAAGGATGGTAGGTTGTGGGACCACCTTTTCCTGCCCCTTCCACTCTGCCCTGCCCAAACATGCAGCATCTGACCCACAAGTGTGGGCTCTGCTGGCTTTCAGCCCAGCGCTCTCTATGGGACACGCTGGCATTCCTCCAACCAAAGCAGCCCATCCTGTCTGCTGCTGGTGTTCTTTGCAGAAAGCCATGCACGTCCTTGGCAGAATGTGGGACCAGGACCTGCAGGGAGGACAGGCCGCTGGAAGCAGCGCCAGGAGGCCTTTATTCTCCAGAAGGCAACTCTCCTTCGCAGGCTCCGTGTGAGGGACTCAAGTCAGCTGGAGCAGAAGCCACACAAGGCTGAGTGGCAGACGAGAGACTCAGTGAGAGCGCAGGCCTCTATTCAAACCAAGGGAAATCTCCCTCCTGCCCCTTCCTCAGCTTTTTTTTAGAGGAGCCTCCATTCCTGGTCCAAGGTGAGACTGGAACGGTGGACACGTCCCATGAAATGTTCCTTTTATACACAGACAGAAGGATGTCTGTACAACATGTGAATGGGAGGGACAACCCACTGTGAGGACAACCTTAAACTACGTAAGCAACACTCTCTCCCCGGGATACTGGGCTAGCAGGAAACCATAACGAGGAAGGAGAAGCAAAGGATGGGTGGCCTTCCAAGACTTCGTACCGCAACTCGCTGCTGACAGAGGATGGATCCATACCTACATCAGTCGTTTAACGAGGCCAAGAATACCCCAAAATCCCACAGGATCACCCCTTCCCTTGAAATGTTTGCACTGAGCCACAATTCCATCCCACCATAAACTAAAGCTGTGGATCTCAGTTGGAACGGAGCCAGAATAAGAGAGAAGTCTGTACAGGAGGGAAACCTTGCACATACTAACCAACTAATTGGAGAGCTGCTGAAGAACCACCCTGCAAGAGGGTGGCGCTACAACTGCACAGCAGGTCCCTGCGGGTGCCACTGCACTCCCAGGATTTGGGGGTATGCTTAATATCTGAAGGGGCAATGGCAGACAGACCCCTGTGATCTATGAAATGAAATGACTAACAGGGATGCGAAGATTAAAATATTTCAATGATTGCTGAGTGGCTGCAACAGGGGACAACTCCTCATATGGCGAAAGGCAGTCCCAGGGGCACTTCCTGTAGTAGGTGTGGTGTTATTGCTTTTAGAAGGGAAGAGAGGCACACGTTGCAACTCCAGGGACCACGTACCAAGTCTCCAGAGGGAAGGGACGGAGGGAGGGCACCTTGCCCCCCCCTTTGCACTCCCAGCTTATGCATCCCATTAAACCCTAAAGTGCGTTTAGAACTGTCTTGCCCTTTCTCTACTCCTGAGGCCCATCTGTGTAATCTGGGTTTCTGGTCATGGGCAGAGGCACTCCTCTCACAGCAGCTGTGGGAGAGCTAGATGGGGCCATGATTAAGGCAGGCACGCCACTGGTGGACTCACCGTCACCCTGCATATCTGAAGTCCATAGTGTCAGGTTATCACGTAACAACTGCATGATAAGCGTAGAATCCTTATAGCTTTCTTCACTCAGCGTATCCAGTTCTGCAATAGCGTCATCAAAAGCTGCTTTTGCCAACCTACAAGAAAGCAGAATTCTGATCATCGGTGTGGTGAAACTCTGCCCACAGAAGAGGGAGGTCACCGACAGGAGAGGAAGATTTTAAGTGATGCCTTGCCACTTCTGTCTCTGACTCCCGTGTAATACCGTTCACGGATGCTGCGAGAGCTGCAGGATGGAATGAGGAAGCCTTTTCGGACGGAGAATCGTCCTCTGCTGGTGGCATTTTCACCTTTCCAAAGGCGTAAGTGAGGCCACAAGACTCCATCCAGGCTCAGGTACCTAATCTCACACCTCAAGGCACATTTCTACGCTCACTGGGGGGTGGGATCAGTTTTCCCTCCCTCAGTGTTAAGTCTTCCCCAGAGCTCTTCACTGTTCCTCCCCCACATAGCAAGAGGCTACCCCCCCCAACACAGTGCAGCTCTGGACAGTGGCGGAAGAGGCCAAAGACCCCCTTCTTGTGGCTTGTGGCTCTGCTCCAGCAGCGGGCCCTTCCCTCTCCCTCTTGCGGGCCCGTTTTGGTGTGCTGGACAGGGAGGGAGGAGTTCTGGTCCCCCCCCCCCAGCAATTTCTGCCTTTCCTTTGTATTTGAAATACCACAGAAAATGCCTCAAGAATTCTGACTTTTTGCCTCACATGTGAAGCCTGAGTATTTCAAACAAACCAATTTTTAGAAGTGTTTCGACCTTCACGCGGTGTGAAAGGGGTGTGACAGAGGAAGCCTCCCTCAAAAGAAGCCGCCTGCACAGCAGCCGCTCACCTGCAGGCACGGTCAGGAGAATTAAGGATTTCATAGTAGAAAACAGAGAAGTTGAGGGCGAGTCCTAGGCGGATGGGATGTGTGGGAGGAAGCTCTGTCATTGCGATATCGCTAGCAGCTTTGTAAGCCACCAGGCTGTTCTCGGCTGCTTCCTTTCTGTCATTTCCTGTGGCAAACTCAGCAAGATACCTGTGGTAGTCCCCTTTCCTGATGGACCAAAATAAATAAATAAATAAATAAGAAAGGGGGGGGGAGAGAGAAAGAGAGCTGTCAAATTACTTGCATTGCTAGTTGAGGGCTCTGCAGTGTGGTTTTTACTAACAGCTTTTTAATGGCAAGATGAATGTTTAAGTTTCTTAAGACACCAGACAGAACTCAGTGGTGCCCCAGCACTGGATCCCACGGTTCACACTGGAGCAGACACCCCTTTTCCTCCTGCAAGAGTCTTGGCGGCACCTGAGAACCCAGGAAACAACCCTCTGCAGTTTGTTGCTGCCACAGCTAGAAGGGGAAAAAATCCCAATTCCACTGGAGCTGGATTCCAAAAGACAAGATTCAGTTACATATTATGAAGCATCCTGAAGAGACCAACTTCTGAACAGAATCCATGCCCTCCACCATCATCTCCCTGGCGGTGCTCACAGGGAAGGAGAAACCGGGGTGTGTGTCTGTCAATGAATGGCTGCCTCCCTCCTCCCACTAAGTTTTCCCCCTCCATCAGCAGATTCCCCATTGATGGGAACATGACATTTTTAAAAAAGATGCCCCCCCCTTTAAAAAATAAAAGAGCTCCACTTCCTTTGGTTGGCCTCTTTGCTCTCCACTCATGCTTCCTTTCACGCCTGTCTCCCACGGGATTACCTACATTTTGTAATAGAAAACCTTGGATTCGCCAGTGTTGGCTGCTGGAATGAGGTGTTTGTCCAGAACATCCAGAATATCACAACAGATTAGTTTCAATTCAGTCTCAACCTTGAGAAGGAAAAAAGGAGAAAAGAAAGGCAGATGGAGGAAAGCTGTTGTCACTGTGGGCTCACAAAAGCGTGAACAAAAACACTTATTAAGATGATCAAGGTATGTGTGTGTGTGTGTGGGGGGGAGGCAAGTCAGTGAGCTGAACTCTCTGGCCCGCCCCTGAGAGCAAACACCTTTTGAAAAGGAGCCTTCCTGCCCAGCCACCCTCACCTGGCCAATGGCCCAGGCAGAGGTTTTCAGCTCCAGGACTGGCACCCAGACCTAGTTCAAGGGTTGCTTTACATGTAGCCACAGGAGGAGATGGGAAGGCAGCCTGGAGGGGCTGTCGCTTTGACCCAGAACCTGGTTGCCTACATGCCCCAGCCTCCTTGGTGGGTCACCAGCAGCCACGCCTGCCTCGGGCCCTTCCTGCTCTGCAATTCCTGGCGAGGATCAGGCAGAGGAGACCCCGTCCTGCTCCTGGCAATACCTTTCTCCTAAACACCAACCTGCATAGCTGGCACCGAGGGACAAATGGCTACAGGGCTTCGGTTCTGGCCCTTTAGGAGATGCCAAGGGTGCCCAGTACCTGAGCTAGTCTAGATGGGCAGGAGAGAAATCCAATCAATCAATCAACCAACCAACCAATCAATGCATGCACACATGCAATTTCTGTCTTTGGGTTGGTCCATAACACCCAAGGCCAGAGGCGGGCCTGCGTCCAGGGCACTCCCTCCCCTCCCAGGTGTTCCCCAGGAGATGCTCACCCTCCAATTCACCCCACTCTCTGGGGCAGCTCCACCTCCTCCCCCTCACTCTCCGAGGGGCTCTCCAAGACCTCCCACATGGACTAAGGCAAGGGCCTTGTTGCTTCCTCCAAAAAGGTTACAAAGTAGACGCACAAAGCCATCTAAACACTGCACACACACACACCCTGGAAACTGACATCATCCTACGCTCTACTGCAGGATAAGAGATGACCCCAGCATTCCTGGGGCCCTCCGGGCACCCCCATGTTGCATTCTGCCCCTGTGCCCCACATTCCCAAGGGAACAGCGAGGGGCCCGGAATATTTCTCCAGCGCCAGGCACACCTGGGGCTGCAGTCGTGTCCAACAGAAAAGGCAAACAGGAAGGAGGATTCACTCTGAGAAAGAGGGCATTCAGGACTAGAGCTACTGTCCCGGGACATCAGAAGCCTTGGAAAAAGGAAGGGACGGGACGCAGCTCCAGGAGGAGGGGAGACCTTGGAGAAACCCAGCGTCTTCTAGGCGTCCTGTCTGTCTGTCTGCCTACCAAACCCTGAAAGAGACCGGGAGGGCCAGGGAGGAGAAGGGTTTTTTGGACCTCTCACGGGCACACCTGCCAGCCACTTCCAAATGGCAGGAAGCAGGACTCAACGTGGCAGCCAAAGGCTATCCCAGCTCCAGAGCGGCAGCCGGGCAGGGGCAGATGGGGGGTGGGGAGAGTTTGCAGAGGAAAGGGCCTCCTCTCTGCTCGTCGGGGGGGGGGGGCGCTTCACCCCAGGGCACCTTCTTTCAAGCTGCATCCTTCGGTGTTTTGACACAGGCGGTACCTGAAGTGCATTTTCTTGGACTAAAGGAGGATCTCAGGGACACCTGAGCCACTCGTGAGAGAATCCGACAAACAGGCCCTCCTTTCTGAAGGCCACCTAGACATGGTGCCTCAAAAAACCAGCCGGGGGCCTGAGCCTGAGAGTCCAAAGCATTGTTACAGTTGGAAGGCTGCCTAGTTCCAGAAATGATTTTCTGGGACCTTCCTTTCTGAAAGCACCACAGCTGCCTCACCTGAAGGGGGGCGCAGTGCCCACTGTCTGCCTAGATCAGTGGTTCTCAGACTGGGGTCCCCAGATGTCCTTAGACTGCAACTCCCAAAAATCCTGGCTGGCCCAGCAAGTGGTGGAAAAGCTTCTGGGAACTGCAGTCCAAGAACATCTGGGGACCCCGGGTGGAGAACCCCTGGTTGAGATCAATGGAAACAGCACCTTCCACATCCGGGGCAGGGGGGGGGAGCTTGACCTGTGGCAGAGCTCCCCTGAGGTCAGCAGGGAGGGGGCTGCTCCCCCAGGACCAAGTCGGCAGGCACGGGGCCACCAAGAATGCTCGACTCCCCCCTGGTAGTGAGAAACCTACTTTCTCTGGCCTTTTTTCCCTTTATCTCTTCTGAATATGTGAGGCGTATTTGGAATAAGAGACGCCCAAGTCACAGGAGACGGTCACAGGCAGGCCAGGAGCCCGAAGGACTCAGGGGCCCAGCGGCCGGGAAGCCCATGCCAAGAAAGGGCCTCCTGAGCCTTCAGCGATAAGGAAGGATGCGGCCCCCACGAAAGCTCCCAGGCGTGGCCTCGCCCACCATCCCTTGGGAGATCCATGGAAACAAAGGGGCGGCAGGAAGGAGCGAAAGGAGACGCCCAAGGGCTCCCCAGGGCATGAAGAAGAAGGGCTTGTGGGAGGTCAAGGGTGGCTTCTTGCCAGGCATCAGGATGCAAAATATCACCAGAGCCACCATGGCACGCAGGGAAAAGCATGCGTGGCCATGCCCATCCCTGGCCGGCACACCCTTTGAAAGGCCCACAGGATGGCTCTTGGGGTAAAGGCAGAGCACAGCAGACCCCCCCCCCCGCATGACTGGCTCTCCTCTCTCCCTCTTGGGGCCTGTGCCCTCATTCACTCACCATTTGCCGATACTCCCGGATCATCTTCAGTTTGTCTTCCCCACCTTTATTCTCCTCCTTCTGTTCGATGCTGCTGATGATTCTCCAAGAGGCTCTCCTCGCACCGATCACGTTCTTGTAGGCCACAGATAGCAGATTCCTTTCTTCCACTGTCAGCTCCACGTCCATCCCGGCCACTTTCTTCATGGACTCCACCATTTCTAAAGAAAGAAGAGTGATTGCTGTCCGGGCTCTGGCACAGAGGCTGACACTCACCGGAATCCTCCCAGAGCTTTGGGTGCCAAATCCTGCTCTTTCAAGCGGCCAGAAGAGGATGCGAGGGGCTGAGAGAGCAGCAGCAGCCCTGAAAAGCAAGGTTGCCCCAAACCCTGGCAATGGCACATCCAGGCCATCCACGCCAATTAAATCTATACCAACAACTCCATCAAACCCCCCCCACCATGTCAGATGGAGTAAAAAGCTTTGCCTCACAAGCCCTAGCAAGCAACCAAGCAAAGGGGACCATAACTCATCCCCTAGAAGGGATAGACTGGCCAGAAAACCGAGCATATAATGTGGCAACACACAAGGACCCTTCCTCGGCTTGGATCCCCACGGCATTTTGCTTGGCTGCAGCCGGTACCTGTCCTGTGAGCTGTCTGGTTTGGCTGTGGACCTGTCCACGTTGCCCAGATTACGACGACCGAGTCCTCTTCGTATGGCTGCCCTGAAGACTGCTCTGAAGGGTCTCCAGCAGGTCTAGAACGCTGCGCCTCTTAAGTGCACAACAGCTACGCAGGGATGCTTCCAGGCAGAACCCAAATAAAGGGCTCAGACCTACTATTCTACTTAGGAGCAGGCTGTCGGAAGAGCCATTCTTTCCTACGCCAGCTTGCCTGGACGCCACCACCTTCTGGAAACACCCTGCCCTCTGTCCTGCCTTCACTTGATGGGCCGGGCACTAGAAAGGTCCTTCCCAGTAAGTCTGATTTCAACCGCTTCATCCTGTGTTCCTTACTGTTGACCTCGGATGGCATTTAATTCACATTTCACCTTATGTCTGGCCTATGGACCAGGGCCTTTTTCTGTTCCTCCAGGTTGCAATTTAATGACGTTTAAGCATGCTATTTTTATGTAGCCTTGGCTGATCACTTATTGAGCTACAAACTGAGGGTTTTACTCGGACGCTTTGTAGAAAAACACGACACAGTAGTGCCTCACATTACAATGTTAATTCGTTCCAGCGAAATCGCTGTAGAACGAAAACATCATGAAGCGAAATGAAAAAGCTCATAGAAATGCATTAAAACCCGATTAATGCGTCCCTATGGGCTTTAAACTCACCATCCAGCGAAAATCCTCCATAGGGCGGCCATTTTCGCTGCCCGTGCAGTGAGGAATCCGTCCCAGAAAAGAGGGGAGACATTTTTTTAACCCCGCAGCCATTTTGAAACCGCCGATCAGCTGGCCGAAAATTGTTGTTTTGCGAGAATTGGTTCCTGAAGCAGGAAACTGATCGCCGCAAAGCGAAATTTCCCCATAGGAAACATCGTTGTAATGCGATTTCATCATTAAACGGGGCGCTCGTCTTGCGAGGCACCACTGTATGTGAATATATGAAATATAAAAAAGGGCAGGTCTTCTCAGGGCCACAGAGAAGGGCGGTGGTGGGGCAGCTGCCACGAGTGGCTGGGCTCAACGGAGGCGACGCAGAGACATTCCAAGCGATGGGTGCTGCCGGAAGTCTCCAGAGGGCCCATCCTCATATTTATCAGCGTGTGCGTGTGACTGTGTTATGTTTCTGGCCTTAAAGCTTTAAAAAGGGAAAGCATACAGCAGGGCAAAACCATTCAAGGCAATGAGAACAGCTGAAAAAACAATTTGTCCCAACATTTCAGTTGAATTTTCCAGAAGGCAAGAGACACAGAATGAAGTTGGGAGGGGGAAGACAACCGTGTGCAGGTGCCAACAGGCAAACCTGTGGGGCTATTTCACATCTTAGGACAAGTTTCTCGATGCTGAGGAAGGGCTTTAATTGGAAAACCACCTTCTGCTCCCTTCTAGAGTCTGCTTGTGGAATGCCGGCAGCGTCTATGAACTGGTAGCCAGCGGGAGGGCCTTTTCTCCTCACCTTCCTACCCCACTGCTCATGAATTACAAAAAGGATGGGCAGGAAAACACTCCTGCGTGTGCACAGAACAGTCCGAGCCTCTCAGAAACACCCTCGATCTGAAGAAGGTGCCGCCTGTGCCAGCATCCAGACTGCAAGCCTTCCAGGGCAGCCGAAGGAGGGAAGGAGCCTCCCTTCCCCAGAGCCACGCGGGGCGTTCTGCCTACAGGACAGCCTCCCTGCTCCGTAAGAGGAAGGCAGAGCGGTTCCGGAGGGCAATCCTGATACCCAGGGAACAACATACAGGAACTCATCCTTTAAAGTAACCCCCCTCATCCTAACAGCTTCTGCTCTGCCCGATACACCGAAAACGGAGTCAGGGAGGAAGGAGGCTGCCAGCACCTGCTGGAGCAGGGAGACTCGGCCGGAGAAGCCACTGAAGAAACCAGGGTGGAGGCAGACATGTGCTGCTTTGGGACAAGGGACCACCTGGGCCCAGCAGGAGGGAGGGGCCTGCCCAAACACGGACCTTCCGCGGGGTGACTTTTGTAGCAGCGCAAAGGCATTCACTGAGGGGGGTGCGTGTATGGATGCGTGTGCAGGCGTGCAGGCCTCTGCCCTCGGGCAGCCAGAGGACCCTATTTTGGATGCCGTGTAGCAGATCCGTCACTCCTTGGGAACCAGCCTGCAGAAGGGGCCCAACCCAAGGACAGGGCAGGGAGGCCCAGCTTTGCCCCAAGAGAGCCCCCCACCCCCACCCGGCCGGGAAGCTGCTGCTGGCCAGCCTTGCAGGGCCGGTGTGTGTGCGTGCCAGTGGATCTTGAGATCGAGCAGGGCTCCCTTCCCTCAGCCAGATCCACACCTTTCTCGCTCTCTCTTTCTGGCTTCGGGCATGAACTCCCAAGGATGCTGTGATGGGGGGGGCGTCCCCCCCAATTGGACCCCAAGCAAACTCTCCCCCTCCCACCTTCCAGGCAGAGCCAGCCAGCAGCTGGCAAAGGGAGGGAGGGCGGAAAACCCCAACTTGGCAGCCCAACCCTTGGGGAGGGGGGTTCCCCTGGCCTCGGTCAGGGAGCAAAAGGGGGGCCCCGAGGCAGATAGCCCCCCCTCCAAGGCTCCCCCCACCCCCGGGGGGCGGCCCGGCTGCGCTGGCGGGGGTCG